CTAGGCCGAAAAGCAAAGTCTAAGTCAGTAACAGCAACATACTTCTAGTTTTGATTACTTCCTATGGGAATTGTTGAAGAAAATGTAGACAAGTGATCTCTAAACAAGTTGCTACTTCACAAGATAACTGGTCCCAGGGCACAGACAGGCCACCTGACCCCAATTAGCTCTGCTCTTCAGGAAACACACCCAAACAGCTTCCCAACCTCCTTGCTTCCAAAACCTAGTCCTCCCCCCTTCAGCCTCCCTCAAACTTATATGACTCCTCCAGAAGACAATTCAATCCTTCAAGCCAGCAGAAACCCACTTGCTTCCCTTTTTTGGGTTACTTTTCTGCCAGGTTAGCTAACTGCACTGGTCCAGGGGGCCAGAGCTAACGCAAGGTAAGGAGGGCAAGACAGCCAGGAGCAGGGTAGGGAATTGCCCCTCTCAGGCACAAGTGACCTTTAACATCAGTTCAGCCCATCCTACAAAGTCACAGCTGTAATTAACAGGAACCGAACTACTCAGAATTATGCTCAAAGTAATTAGGTTCCACAGTCTGGTAGGAGGCATGTTACCAAACCATGACAGCTACAATTTTAGAAAGCAATGCTTTGATAAAGGTGGTGCTAAACAAAATGATCTGAAACAAAGGCAAACAAAAATTCCTACATAAGGCATGGATTCTTGGTTAAGGAAACCACAGTCACAGAAACTATTTACAGCATTCCTATTAATATGGTCTCCGTGGGAATACTACATGCAGCACTTCTAACTCCAAACCCCCCAAAGAATGGCATAAATTACAGAGGGCCTGGGAATAGGGACAATTACAATGGCAATTTCGTATCAAGAGAAAGTAAAGTCTTTCTAAAAGAGAGATGGAGTAAACACAGAGCAAACAAAATTAAGCAACCACCTTGTTTAACTCTAGGAATATTTCCTGAAAGTGAGCAGGACAGAACAGTGTCTCTTTTTCATAATCAAACCCCCAAAACTCTTCTTTTAACACTCTGCTGACCACCCAACCCAATTAAATTCTTTGCAACAGTGAAATACAGAAACACAAAAGACAGAAATTACTCGTACAGCAGTGTAACTAATTGTCACCCTTTCTGTAGGGTGACATTTTGGATGAAAATATTTGACAAAAGCAGAATGTGAAATTCAAGAACTTTCCTGATATGTAATTGCCATCAGAAAAGCAATTTTCCTATCAGTTTCTCAACTAGATTAAGCTAAATTACCTGACAAGTTTACCAAGACATAGAAAACAAAACCCACACAAATGCAAACATGACATGCAACCCGCAATACTCAACTCCAAAAAAACATTATTAGCAGATTGTCTGTCTGTGTTTTGTTACAGATATGTCCACCATCCAACAAAGTAGTAACTATATTTCACCATTAACTTTAGCAGTCGAGCGGAGTCAGCTCTGGAAAAGGGAAACGATTTTAAGTCCTGTGTTTTTCTTAAACTTCTAATATGAACTTTGTAATATTAACGTTTTAGCTATCTATTGTGGCAACATAGATCACTAAAAAAAAAATAATTTTAAAAACCCAAACATCATCTCTTTTTCAGACCCTCACTGAAAACCAGTGATTATGTCCCTGGGATATATTAAGAACTATGCAACTCGGATAACACTTCATCTCCTACAACAAACTTGCAGTGGCACTAGTTAGAAGAGATGCATTATTGTTGACTGGGTATATTTGACAGAGAGCTAATGACATGAACAAGTTACCCATTATCTTTCTTGTGATGCATTCATTATCATCTTCTCCAAGGCCTCTTTGAAAGTTGAACTTGGGTGGGAGGGTAGGTAATTATAAACTATTGGTTCAAGCCAAAAATCCATGGGGTGCACTAGTATGTTTCCAGCTACCAGCTAAACAGCAGGGCTCACAGCATCAGGATCATATCAATCTGACCCATATCTTCACTCCCTTTGAGTCTGCACCACAGGCTCTTACTTCAAATTCAAAAATTTCCACAGTAGAGACTCTGCCTTTAAAAAAAAAAAACAAAACAAAACAAAAAAAAAAAAAAAAACAAAAAAAAAAAAAAACAAACAAAAAACCGAACAAACAAACAAAAAAACCCCAAACAAATAAAACAAATCAAATGTTTAACCCATGCCCCATTGTAGCTCAGTTCAACTAAAACAGAGCAAGGAAGTAGATGCCAGTTTGCTCTGCTTGCAACTCCTCAACACTTTGCCAGGAAAGCAGGTTACAGAAAGGTCAGCATTTAGCAAGAATGTCAACATAACAAGATTGTCATCTTATTAAGGCAATAATCCCTACCCACTAACAGCAGAGACACCTCCCTACATGGATCTCCCTGCTAAGGGGGGAAGCCCACAATTTACAAATAACAGTTTGAAGCTGCCTGAGTACACCGAGTGCTTGGATCCACTCTGCTGAAACCCCACCACTGGTGAGCATCATCATCACATGGCTATTCTCAACTTCACACAATTATTTCATCAAGCATGAAGTTCACTTTCAGACAACAGGATGAAACAAATGAAAGAGGCTTTATGAAACCCCTCACAAATTTAAGATAAAGCCCTAGTAAGCTCACGTGCGGATACCACTTAGGACTACATTACTTCCTCTTTGTCACATTAAAAGTAACCAGCTTTTGTTATTATTTTTGGGCTACTTTTAAACTCCACTTTGAAGGTGCCTTGGGCAAGACCTTGCCTCAAAATGAAACAGGCAATAATCCATCTAGGAGAAATTTTCCCTTCACTGTCCACAATATAATCAGAAAGCACTTACCTCTCTCTCATCTAAAAAAAAAAAAATCCCAAAACAAAACTAAACAACAAAAAACCCCAAACCTGTAATACCAGCCTAGTGTATCCTGGTCCTGATAGATCACTTTCTATCTCAGCTGTCACAAACAGATTGTAAATATAAACTCACTCAAAGAAGGTCTCACTCAAGAAAAGTCACAAGCAGTGCCAAACACTGGCCACTCACAGAGCACCAAACTGAAGGCTACTGCAATGTAAGTATGATAATCATCAAGAAAACCTTGACAAATCCAATGAAACTCAACAGGTTTCAGATGCATAGAGGAATTGCAAATGTAAATATTCACTCTATGGTTGGAGGTAATGTCCTTAAAATTAAGCCATAAACATGGATAACTTAGCTAATTCACATACATCAAAATCAGGTACAGAACACTGAAATCTGATTAATAAGACATCAAAGCCCACAGGCCAGTTAAACTGCATCAGAAATAGAGCTGAGCACATCAAAATAAGAGTTTGCAGAAATACAGACAAACAGAGCATAAGGCAAGTAAACTTGGGTAATTAAAATATTGGCATAGTACACAAATACTCAAAGAAAGCTGGCAAGGTGGGGAAAACAATACAAAACCCCCTTTCAATTCAACAATGAATAAAGTAGGGAGTTTGCATACTAAGAGCACAGTAACAAGAGGATTTCTGTCCTGAAACTTTCATAACATTTAAGCAAGCTGAGATTAAACCAAAATTGCCCCAAAACAAACAAGATTTAATTCTAGGCATATTCACTTAGTCAGAAGCAGTAACAGTGCCAGTTTTGCGCACCTCAGATTGTGGAATAGCTCTAAATGTTCCCCTGCAGTCCTGCCCACCAATACAAGTTTTACTTAAACACACCCACTCACCCTGTGATGGCAAAAATGGACCAGAAGACACTTGGAAAGCAGATGGTTAAAGTGATGCGTCCAACCGGCTGCACATGATTCTCCCCTCTGAAGTGCAAAAGGCTGCACTTCAAATCTCCTCGGTGCTCCAGCACCAAACAGGAGCACGTGACAACCAGTCATCCTACCTGTGGGACAGACTGCTGCATCCCACCAGGCAAGAGTTCAACCGGATACACAAATAACAACATCAGCTGCAGAGCAGAGAAAAACGTCGAAGTACGCTATAGAGCCCAGAGCCAAGCTTATGTTCAGCTGCTGTTGCTTTAGCTTTGCTTCTCCTATGCTTCTGAATTTCAGAAAGGATCACGAAGGACTCTCATCCTAACGACACCTTTCCTGACTTCCCAGTTTGCCCTCTGACTGGTCAGCCTCACGTCTGACAGAGACAGAAGCACGAAACACTGGTACTGCCACGCAAGACAGCAACAGGAGCAGTAGCCGGGACGAACAGCCCTGCTCGCTTTCAGGCACACAATTTAAGGTATCAACTTAGCCTAGAGACGAGCGAGCCAGCGTGCGCTCCCCGCACCACCGCAGCCCCCGGCTCGGCCTGGAGGGGAGCCGACCCTCGGAGCCCGCCCGTGAAAGAGACGCCCAGCAGCGGGAAGAACCGGCTCCCAGGGCGGCTCCGCGGCCGCAGGAAGCCGGGAAAACGCCGCCGTCCCGCACCGCCAGCCCCAGGCCGGCAGTGGGGCCCGGCCGCCGCCGAACGCCGAGGCCCGGGGCCGGCCAAAGCGGCGGCAGGGGGAGGCGAGAGGGGCAGGGACCCTCCGGAGTAGAACCGGAGACGGTCAGGGCGGGGGGTCGCCGCGACGGGGCAGACCCCGCTAGAAGTGGGGGGACGGAGAACGACCTTGCTGCCCGCAATGGCGGAGAGCCCCCTCAGGGCCGGGGACGAGGGTGTTCCCTTGGCAACGGAAGCCCCCTTCAGATTTCGGAGGGCCGACCCACTTGCTTGGCAACGGAACCCACCATCGTGGGAGGAGGGGGGGGGGGGGGAGGAAGGGAGAAGGGGGAAGGGGAGGGGGGGCGACACACTCCCCCCCTTCCCCCGCCAGACCGCGGTGCTACGTCTACCTTGTAGACGTCACCGTAGGTGCCGCTGCCGATGCGCTGGATAAGCTCGAAGTCCTCCTGGGGGTTGCGCCGGGACAGGTCGCACACCCGCCCGCCGCCGCCTCCGCCGCCGCTCATGGTGCCGGGGGAAGGCGCCACTCAGCCGCAGCCCCCCGAGCCGGGGGAGGGAACCCGACACCGGAACACTCACAACTTCCCCCCGGCCCGCTCCCACAACATGGCGCCACGTCTCCACACTGCGCAGGCGCACAGAGCGCCACCACCCCCCCCGCCCTTGCGCTTACTCGGGCCGGCGTGAAGCGCGGAGGTTTCTCCTGCGCAGGCGCGCGGCGCTCCGCCTCGTGCCCGGTCCTGTACGGTTCTCCCGACCCCTCGCTACGCTTCTGTGCGTTGGGGGTGCTGGCAGTGGCGCTCAGCACCCGCCCCTGCTACCGCACCCACCCCTGTTACCGCACCCGCCCCTGCTACCGCACCGACCCCTGCTACCGCACCGACCCCTGCTACCGCACCGACCCCTGCTACCGCACCCGCCCCTGTTACCGCACCCACCCCTGCTGCCGCACCCGCCCCTGCTACCGCACCCGCCCCTGTTACCGCACCCACCCCTGCTGCCGCACCCGCCCCTGCTACCGCACCCGCCCCTGCTACCGCACCCGCCCCTGTTACCGCACCCGCCCCTGCTGCCGCACCCGCCCCTGCTACCGCACCGACGCTGGCGGCACCGGCAGCGCTTGCGAGGCCGCCCTCGCCGCTTCCCGCCGCCGCCCCCCGGGCCGCGCCCGGCCGCTCCTCGCCGGGCACGCAGGGCTGTGGCGGACTTGCAGCTACGTGGGCATCGACTCCCGCCTCGACAGCCTCATCTGCAGGGGTGAGAGGCCCTGCCGGCTCGGATATTCCCCCTAGTTCAGCCCCTGTGCGTGCAGCCGGGGACCTAAAAAAACAGCCCCGTGCCCCTACCAAAAAAGACAGCACACTTAAGAGCCAGCCCCTTGTGGAACAAGAACCGTAATCCACCCCCGGAGCCCAAGTGTGCAGCTGAGGACCCGCAAATTCACCATCCCCTGTCCCTGCAGCTGGGGATCCCCCCCAGCGCCAGCCCCTCTGTGCATGCAGCTGGGGGCCCCTGCAGCAGCTGGAGCCCAAGGACCCCCCCATGCTGTCCCTGTGCACTGGAGACCACCTTCCGTGTCCCCCGGTGCTCAGCCTCTAGTCTCTAGCTTGGGACAGGGTACTTCCCCACACCTTGGTGTGTGAGAACCCAGGGCTCTCTGCCCCAGGGCACAAAACTGGGAACCTACTGGGACCCCAGCATTGCCCGTTTGCCTGCAGCCTCTGGTGTCAGCTCCCGAGGGAGCTCCTGGGGCCTTTGCTGGCTCCTGTGCGGTATTTGTCCTTCCCCAGTGAGGCAGGGAGCCATGCGTTACGGATGTTCCCACATCTGCACGATGCTGTGCACCTGCCAGTCCACTACACCAGTGGAGCAGCATCTGTGCACACCTATCCAATACACCCTGGTGGGGCAACATCTTCCACTCTTCTACAGGACCACTTCACCTTATTTTTTGATTTTTATGGAGTGTCGTGCATGCCCCCATGGGATAAAGTGTACATCCCCCTCCTCTCACACCAGCACTGCTGGTCCCGCTTCCACTCCCATCCTGCACACAGGTTTCCAACCTGGAGGAGGCATGTGGGTGCTTGCCTCCATCCCCAGTGTCTTAGTTTGGGCTGAAATAGAGTTAATATTCCTTTTCAGGGACTAGATGAGTGCTGTGTTTTGGATTTAGCTTTGGGTTTGGCATGGGAAGAATGCTGATAGCACACTGATGTTTTCAGCTGCTGCCGAGACTTCAAGGACTCTCCGACTCCCCGTGTCCTGCCCGTGCGCAAGGGCACAGGGAGCAGGGAGGGAGCACGGCCACAGCACCTGACCCAAACTGGCCAGTGAAATATTCCAGATCATGGAACGTCATGCTCACTATATAGAGGAGGGGTGGTTGGGAAGGAGCTCTCTCGCTTCTGGGATTGCGATTGTGGGATCTTGGTATCTCGGGGTTGCTAGCTGGGAACGGGCTGGATATTGGTTAGCAGGTGGTGAGCAATTACGCTGTACATCGCCTGTTTATATATCTCTTTTTGTTTTCCCCCATCATCGTTATTGTTCTCATTTTATTGCCATTATTAAACTGTTCTTATCTCAGCCTGCGAGTCTCCCTTCACCCCTCTAATCCCTCCCCCATTCCCAGGTGGGGAGGGGGAAGGGAGGGTGATTAGCTGCGGGGGTTGGTTGCCGATCAGGCCCAAACCACAACACCCAGCCATGCCCCCCATCCTCTCTGTGTGGGGAGCAAATGCCAGATGGCTGTGGGAACCCTTCTCTGCAGATGTGCAACCCCTGGAGCGTGGCTCTGTAGCATGTAGGTCCCAGGGCACCTCTTGGCCTCTGTGCTGGTGAACCGGGAATGGCTTTTCCCACCACCTCCTGCTGCCAGTGACTGATGGGTGAAAGAAATAGAGTGGGACGAGGCGTGACTTTGGACACAAAGCTGCACTGTCTGCTTGCTGCCACTGCCTACCTTGCCAAGGATGTTGGCATGGGGAACCCTTTTCTCCACTGAGAAGGTGTGTGGGGACAGGGAGCTGGACGTGGCCCCATTTCAATGTGTGATTACTGGAGCAGAGAAGGAGCTGAAGGGGCTGAGCTCTGGCATGTGTAACAGTGATGGCTGTGAAGTTGCATAGTGTCTGCCAGTCCCACCAGCCACCCTGGGCCATGCATCCCCGTCCTTGGCTTAATTTTTACAACTTTTTCTCTCACAAGTAAAGCAGTCTCAAACTTGCCAGAATTGGATTCAGGCCACTGTGATTCTTCCTGGCATGTGACTGAGGGTTTTGGGGCATGCTGTGCTGCTTTCTGCTGCAGAAAAGCCAGGACAGGTGGTAGGCATCGATTAGTTGGATGAGGCTGACACAGATGCTTTGAGAGCTGATGCAAGGGGACTGGGCTCTGTGACAAGCTCAGGAGAAGCAGCAGCTCTGAATGAGTTATGGAAGGAAATGCCAGGGAGTTTGAGCTCCGTCCAGAAAGGATAATGGACATCCTGCTGGGGAGCACTGATAACCTCATCACCTGCCAGCTCTTGCAGTCTTCATTTTTATCTCATAAGAGGGGAAATGGGTTATAGTTCTTCCCATGTTATATTCTGGCCAAATTCTGCTTGGGTAGAAATGGTTATGAATGAAGCAAGCAGCGTTATTTTTCCCCTTAAATCCTGCTTTCTATCCCTGACAGCTGCCTGCGCTTCTTCTGTTTTTGTAAAAACACCCATGGGTTTCTCTGGGAGTGTCCATGTCCCTTCTTGGTACGAGACAGATGGAGCTGAGAGATGTGCCCTCCACTGCCTTCAGAAACAGGTCAGATCAAATGGGTATTTGGTATAATTTCCTTATCCAAGCTTTGGGGCGACCTGACCTGCTTTCTCTTTTTCCTCCTATTCCTTAGATATGGCTACAATAGGACAGTTGAGCCATATGCTGCAGAGAAGCAGGCTGGGCATCTCTTCAGCACAGCTCAGAAAGGTCAAATGAATTCAGTAAAACTGCATTTGGCTGTTTAACATTTTTGTGGCAGTTCAGCCAATGCTTTTATTTTAAGAGTTCTTCCGATGATGTTGGGGGACTCGTCACACTTGACTGCTCTGCCTCCAGGGATCACGAGCCCCAGTTGTAGTCAGTGGCACCCCACAGCCACAGAAAATGAGGCTTGCTGAGGCTGGATGCCTTGTTATTTCCAGCTGTGTTCACAACCCATCCATTCTGCAGCTGCTGCTTAGATCCAAAATACCACTCCGTGCTCTACAGCCCTAAATCCTGGTGTTGTGGCTTGAGCCTGGTCGGCAGGCAAACACCACACAGCTGCTCACCCACCCTCACCCCTGACCTGGGAATGGGAGAGGGAATTGGAGGGGTAAAGGGAGACTCGCAGGTTGAGATAGAAACAGTTTAGTAATGGTAATAAAATAAAAACAATGACAGTAATAGAAAGTATAAACAGGCAATGTGCAATGCAATTGCTCACCACCCGCTGACCAATACCCAGCCCGTTCCCAGCCAGCGATCCCGAAATACCAAGATCCTGCAATTGCAATCCCAGAAGCAAGAGAGAGCCCCCCCCCCTTCCCGACCACCCCTCCTCTATACAGTGAGCATGACACTCCATGATCTGGAATATTTCATTGGCCAATGTGGGTCTGGTGCTGTGGCCGTGCTCCCTCCCTGCTCCTTGTGCACTTGCGCACGGGCAGGACACGGGGAGTCAGAGAGTCCTTGAAATCTCAGCAGTAGCTGAAAACAGCAGTGTACTATCAGCATTCTTCTCATACCAAACCCCATGCTGAACCTAAACCACAGCACTATTCTAGTTACTAAAAAGAAACATTAACTCTATTCCAGCCCAAACTAGGACACCTGGACACTTCTGGAAGCAGGAGTGCTGGCTCCTCGGCTGGCATGCATTAGCAGGCTCCACCTGGTTCCAGCCAGGTGATGCCAATGCAATTTGCCATGGTTAAAGACCTCTTCCCACCCCTCTGTCATCTTTCCATACCAGATGAAAAGGATGAGGCATTGCATCTGCCAGTGCTGTGGAAGGAAGGTGTAGCCTGGGGCCAAGCCTGCCCATTTTGCTTATGGGAATGGAACTGCTGCAAGAGGGAGGGTGTCCTTACAGTAGCTGCAGAGCACCTACTTGAGCTTGGTGGGATCAGACATGGAGGCAGGCAAGTGCTATCTGCGAGTGTGGAAGACTTACCTTGGTCAGGAACAGCTGCAGTTTGTCTCAGTCCCAGGGCAGGTTGGTTGTGGTCAGAAACTGTGCCTCAAAGAAAGCGACTGAAGGAAAGTTTAAATTTAGAGGGTCCAGTTGGCTCCAGGTGTGGGAGGCACACGTACACACATCCCATACTGGTATACCCCTGTTGCAGTCACTCCTGATGTCTAGGGTGGAGAACTAATCCTCAAACTTCCAAGGATGACTTTAACAGTGTAAAAAAACAGCAGTACAGCCTGGACATTTTTCCCCTCAATCATGAGGCTTTTATGTTGTGCTTCACAGAAAACAGAAGATAAATCTTTCCATCGTGATGTCAACAGTCTAAAGACTTGGCTTCTTCCATGTTGTCCTCCTCTTTAACACCTCACCAGAGCAGCTGTTTGTCCTGCAGCCAGCATCTCCTGGGTACCACTTCCTTGCTGCATCCCACATTGACTCCTGTCTGTTCTGGGATGCTTTTGCTGGTTGCTCCCCATTCAGCTCAGCAAAACCAACTGTACCCTCCCATGCACCCAGCACCCAGACTCAAGGAGGGGCACCCACACAGGATAAGACCCTTTGTGCTACATGTGTAGTTTATCTGTAAGTGGCTATATGCCCCGAAACTGCCTTTTAATGCAGCCACCTCCATGGTGTCAGGCCAAGGAGCAAGGTGCCAGTGACAGCTCATACTGGCATTTTCTCTGCAAGGAATGCAGAAAGCAAAATTGTCATTTTTTTTAGGGAAATGGTGCTCCAGGGCAGTGATGGCTGGGTAGGGGGCAAGGTAGGGCATGTCTCCATGGCATTTGTCAGACAGTGGCACTTTAGGGATGCCAATTGGTAGTGCAAGTTAGTGATAGCCAGTTCCCAGTAGACAGGGTTTCTGCCTGAGATTTTGTGTTAGAGCATTGTTTCTCCTGCTGCAGTGCAGGCCTTTTCTGGGAAGGTTTTGTCTTTGCTGGGAGAAGCACGAGTATAGTGTAAGAGGAAAAACACTGATTGCCTTTGCTTGGCAGCCCAGTAGTATTTCCCCATGTTTCTACATCTCTGTGTAGAAATACTTATCTGTGTCTTTCAGAGAGAAGCAGTATCCTTTTGGAAGGGGCAAGGGGGAGGAAAGAAGTCAGGCTCCTGTGTAATGGATAATGTTTTACAAGTGCTGCTGGCCATCAGTGGTCTCCAGAGGATCCAGGACACAGGTGCTGGTACTGGGAGAAGCTGGACAGAGGTGATTACTCAGAGGACAAAGGGTGGGCAGGAGCTGAGCAGATGGTAAAAGGATGGGGAGGAGGTGGGCAGGCATCAAGGACTATCTGAAGGAAGGAGGGGTAATTCCCAGCACAGGGAAGGGAGATTGGTTCTGGTTTTGGTTACCTGCTATGGGAACACCTCATCTTCCTCTCTGGTAGGCATCTCTCAAAGATGCACTGCTATGAAGTACCTCTTTTCCCAGCTGGTATGCTTGTGCAGTGTCCCTTTCAACCTGATGAAGATGATTCACCAGGACAAATGGCATCTTCTCTGTAAGTGTTCAGCACGGCCCACTCCTCCCTGGTGAGGCTTGTGGCTCACACTCTCCCTTTCATGTGAAAAACACAGCAATGAGACACTAGTGTGCAGAGGAGGGGGCTGAGGAGGCAGGATCCCACCAGGGCCCAGTCATCAGCAATTTTCACCCTCATTTTTGCTTGCAGGCCACTATGGTCAGTCCAGGAAAGTGTGAACACTACATGCAAGGGTTTCTAAGCTTATTGAACATAACCTGCTCTTAGCCACCCTTCACAGGCAGATCACCTCTCCCCTTGCCTCTCCAGGGGTCTGTAGACACCAGCTTGAAAGCCTCCATTCTCATGTCACTGGAAAATGTCCAGCAGGAGATGTGTCAGAAGCTGATGACAGAAGCCACAGGCTAAGCAATTATAGCAGAACCTGTCTGCATGGAAACTCCATGGCATTTAGAAACTGGAGCATTTCTGTCCATCCAAGTTACTTTAAATTTGAACTCTGGAAGGAAATAGAGAAGAAAAAATGTATCACAGTGTTTCTGCATAAAACCATGCTGCACCCACAGCCTGAAGGTCGTATGGCCGAAGCCGTATGATTATATGGTTCATATGATAGTGGGAAGTTTATAGCACAACTACAAACCCACTAGCCTGTAGCAGCCTTGCTACAGCATCGCTTTCTACTTAAAAGTACTCACTCCTGGGTCCAGGACTACTCCTCCTATGGGTGTGCCTGGAATGGGCTATTTCTAGGTGTCCCTCCACTTCCTCCTGCAGTCAGAGGCTTCTCTGTTGTAACACCCACTCTTCATTTCTTGGGTTTGGTGGAAACAGACTTGAGAGGGATCATGGCTGGATTCTTGGGCATGGCTGCAGCTGTTCTCCACAGGTGTATCGTGGCAGCAGTCAGCTTCTTTTGGGAGGAAAGCCTCAATCAGCACGTGGCAGGTCTGCTGCTCCTGACAACAGGTAACGTGTTGTTCTAGCATGCTAATTATGGATGAAGGCTTCACCAGGTTTCACTTGGATAGGCAGCGTGCATTGCCACTAAGTAAAACATGCCTTTTCTTCAGCTCTGCAGTTGCTGTGCCTTGCATGAAGTGAGTTGCTTACTCATACAAGCAGAATACCCAATAATTAGAAACAAAAAAAACCTGTGAAAAATGCTCTAGACTTCATACAGCAGCAGGAAAGGAGCACAGGGCTAAAACAACTGTTTCCTCCTCTCTATGTATGAAGCAATCTCTGTCTTCTCCAGAACAGAAGAGTTCCTTGATGCAGTTTACAGTCCTTGATGGTGGACTAAATATTTCTTTTAACACTGAAGTAGGAAAGGGGAATGCTTAAAAAAAAAAAAAAAAAGTCTTAGTCATAAAATTAGAGGTTGTTTAGAGGGGGAGGAAGGGTAAAATCCACAAACAGAAAGCCGGCATGGGTTTGAACTGTTCAAACTCATGAGGCTAAGCACAACACCTTCTCTTCTGCCAAATGAAAAATTTTGACTTGATCAGCTGTAATGCACAGCACAGCTATATTTTCTTAATACATTTGGAAAGTACAGGCCTGCTGAAAGGCTCACTGAGCATGGCTATTTTAGATGCTTAGGGAAAAATGACACAACAGAAAATCTAGGCTGGGAGAAGGGTATCAGCATGGAGGTGGGGAGCAATTTAGCCTGAGTGGTTCCTCTGTAGAGGTATGTGGAGGGCCACCCATAGTGGTAGATTACCTGCCCAATAACGTCCAGATCAGATCACATGCAGCACATGCAAAACAATTTCCCCTGGTTACTCTGAGGCATGCAGCAGGCTCTACTCCCACAGAGGGGATTTGGCATCACAACACCAGCTTGCACGATGTAATTGCATCCCATGGGTCAGATCCAATCACAGATGGAGGTTTTGGCTACCTTGCTCTGTTTGAAGGGCGGGCATGACTGAAATTACAAAGACTCTTATTCTTAAAAATCAAAACCAGAAAGTTTGCTGCATGCAATTCACAACCACAGAGCTAGTGCTTAGCCTTGTGTAACTGGGTAATACACAAAAACTTTATAAATGATGGTAATTATCACCTGTGTGCTACCCAAGATAACTTATACCATTAAATCTGGGTGAAAGTTATTTGATTAGTAAGGCATAACATTTATTTTGTTATTCATGCTATGCTACATCTCAAAATAATAACGTGATTATTTCATTTATAGGAGTATTTTGCACTATGTCTCTGCACTTATGCAGCCAGCATATCATCTTTTCATATTCATCTATAATCTTCCTGATGATGTAAAACATGGATACAGCTGCTCTGTATTTTGCGCTTAGTGCAGCCTGGGATTTACAACAGCAACTGGATGTCTTTGCACAGCTTACCCATTTGTTAGCAGGGGCAACATTACGCAGCTGATGTCTACCAGGGACACGTCCATATGACTGTCCACCTGCCACCAACACCCTTCAACAATGACTGAATGGTATTTTTCGAGACTTACTCAAAGAAGCAGAAGTGAAAGGAAAACTGAAGTCAGGATTCCAAGCACAGAAGTCTGATTCTTCAGAATCTGACCATCTTGTTTTACCATTTCAGCAAGCTGTTCTCCCATGCTGCTGAACAGAGAGATTTGGAAAGGAGACAGCTCTCAGACAGATCTCAGGATCACATGCTTCAGTTCAGCATGCCAAGTACATGCAGAGGGATATATTTGCACTGGAAGGTAAAAGGGGGAGGAAAGTTGCTGTAAGAGTTTAGGGCTATTTATTTTTTTCAAGGATCTGTACATAAAGAAATCAAGGAAAAGTCACTGCTGCCAAATGAATCCTAGACAGAATTATACCCCCTCCCCCAGAGCATCATCTGTAGTGTTTTACTTCATCGCCTTCTGCACCTGACCCTAAAGGAAGGCTTTGGTGGCCCTCTGCTCCCAAAATTCCAAACCAGAGCTTTTCTCTTTTAAATTAGCACGTACCTGTGTTCTTTGTGTATCCTCTGTACATGAAGTTCCTGTGTAATTTGTAAATAACCAAGATTTCCATTCTGAGCACCTGAGCTGCACTGTGAGAAGGATTAAATTATTCCTGTTACATTCCTGGATGAGCTCTTGGCATTTGCCAAGCTACAGTATCTGTAATAAAATATCTGTCTCTGTCAAAAGCATTTGCATCAACTGCAATTTCATGACTTGGAAATGGTGTATCCTGCAAAGCAGAGAAAGTTCATAAATCAGGAGGGTTGTAGCCTGGACAGTGGTTTCACCAAGCATCCGTATGGGGCAGTGCATCATGCTGGAGTTAGAGGCCCAAAGAACCTCTCCTGCTTGGGCCAAGAAGCCACCTATGGCAACAGAGGGATGGGGAGATGCTAGAAGGGGCGTGGTTTTGTATTTTCCAGTGCTTAATTGCAGGGACATGTGAGTTGGCAGATGAGAGCCCCATGCTGATCTGTTAGACAGCACTCAAACTGACAGAGCCAGTCTCCACAATTAAGAGACTTCAGTGCTATGTTGATGCATCTGTCACAGCTCATCCAAAGCTATGAACCTCTGCCATCTTCTAAAAGCCAGTGTTGCCCTTGATGCATGGCATCCCTACATTCATTGCCAGACTAGTGTTTCACAGCTGCTGGGCACAGGGAAAGAGTTGGCCAGGCCCCTAGAAGGTCCCCCAGGCTGCCCTGCAGAGGGTACAGACTCTGTCAGGAATGAAGCAGACGGTGGTAATGGAGCAGAGCAATCAGAGAAGCCAGTTCTGTAGTAAGGGTGGATGTGCACAAAGTACAGGATGAACACAAAGGGGAATGGTGGGGGAAAAGGTCAAACTCAGAGTATTATGAGCATAGAGCTGGGAAGAGAAAAAGGGAGATGTGAGATGTTGGAAGAGAAAAAGGGAGATGTGAGATGTTGGTTGAAGACCAAAAGAGTGGGAGAGGAAGAGAAGGTGAGAGACAAGTGTGGTGGAACAGGCAAGTATTGCCTTAATGCAGTAACCATCAATTAAATGACATCAGAAAAAGTCAGTGTCAAATTAAGCTAAGAAACACTATCATACAAAGTAGACTAAAACCCAACAGATCAGTTAATTGATCTGGGAGAAATCAATATGCCAAGAAGCAATGGCAGGAGAAACCAGCATCAGTACTAAACACAGCTTTGGGGACAGCCTTCCCTGCATTTCTGTGCTTGGTTTCACCACTGAGCACAGAGCAATGTCTCTCAGCAAGCAGTTAGGTCCTGCTGGAGCCAGATCATACCTGTTTATGTGGTTGCCTTGTCATACACAGATCAAGGCAGAAATCCTCTCTCCACATAGTTTATACATCTAATATAACACCAAGAATGTTTAACTTGTTTCCATCTTGGGTGAAGAGCACAAATATTCATGGGTGACACTAAACTGGGGGGGGTGGCTACCATAATGAATGTCAGAACTTCTTCCCAGAGGGACCTCAGTCAACTTGAGAAGTAGAACCTTGTGGTGTTCAAGGAGGAGATGATCAGAGCTCTGTGCATGGGGTGACACAACCCCATGCATTCAGCCAGGCTGTGAGATTTAAGCTGGGCAGCAACCATGCTGAGAAGGGCTTGGGGTTATAGCAAACAATGGGCTAACCGTTGGCCAGAAGCATGTTCCTATCGCAGGTAAGACAAATGGGCTGCACTAGGCGCCACATGGCTAGCAGAGCCAGAAGAGTGATTTTTATCCTCTCTGTTCAGGGCTGATGAAGCCTCACCCAGAACTCAATAGTCCTCCAGTTCAGGAGGCGTGTGGGGAAATAGGAGAGGGGCTAGCAAAGTCTGCAAAAATAGTAAGGAGCCTGGAGCACAGTGCCTGTGAGGAGATGGAGCTGGGCTTGTGTAGTCTGGTGAAAAGGAGGCAGAGGGAGCATCTACCAGGATCCTGTGACTGCTTGAAAGGCAGTTATAGACATGAGAGAGCCAAAATCCTGCAGCATCAGCCAATGCAGCAAGGGACAGACACACAATACAGCTTGGGAGGCTCACATATAAGGAAAGTTTCTCCCCCAGGAGAGTGGTGTCTCCTGGGACATGTACCCAGAGAGGCAGGGTTCTCCACCCTTGGAGGTTTCTTGCACAGTGCAAGAAAGATACCGATTCCCAGCAGTAGAGATCTTCCCGTATTTGTATATAAAAGCCCCAGCTGATGTGATCTAGCTTTGGCAATAGGTCTGCTCCAAAGAGGAGGCTGGGGGCCACCAGAGGCCCCTTCTCACAGGTGTGACAACTATATTGAAGACACCTCAGCATTGTATTAAGTGTGTGTGTGGGGAGCTCCACAATCAGTTCTCAACAGTAAGTTTTAGTATCTTGAAATACAGTTAGCCTGAAGATTAATATCTCTTCCCTTACCCAGCCAAAGCACCTTGTCAGAATCAAGAAGAAAAAACAAAGGAAAGCAAAAAACCCCAACCTAAACCTCAGACACCCTATTAATAGTATCTCTGTACTAATCATAGCAGAAGAACACAACGTGTGAGTACCTTCCAGCTTGCCAAGTTACAAATGCTTGTCCAAAATAGCATCTGAAAGCAATCTGCAGTCATTCTCTATAAAAATACTTCACTGTCAGCTCAGCGAAGGGAAGCCTTGAATTAGACTATCCTCTCCCCACCAATAGCTCTTGCGCAGACTATAAGAACTGCTAAGACTTCTCTCTTTTCAAGAGCTTTCTGGAGCTTTCAGGAGTTTTTGTGGTGTTTTTTGTTTTGTTTTGATTTGATTTGTTTTGTTTTTCCCATGTTCTCTGCAGGTAGAAGTCACTTTGAATTGTTCATCCATGTGGCAAGTTTTTCCATCTTCTACTCTGTGTGCTTGGAGTAACATTACCAAGTGAGGAAAAGCATTATTTTTGATAGAAATAAGTCTCTTCACCCTAAAAAGCTAAAGCATACCCATTAGAGACATGCAAATGCCACAAAAAATTAACACAGAAAATAGTTTATTTTCCACTCCAAGAGATCTGAATAGCAATATTTCAAACTCATCAGAAACTACCTTTAAAGTAATACTGCTAGGCACAAGGTAGAGCAAACATCCAGACTTCAAGAAGAGCTGGGGACTTCTTTAGACAAGATGTGCTTCCTAAGAACATTGCTGAAGGTGAAAATCCATTTATATTTAATATTACCTCATTTGTTTTTGCAGTTCTGAAAATGAAGTCTTTCTCTCCTAAAGAAACTCCTCCTGATACTGAAAGGCTTTGCCTAGACAAGGATTTGAGGATTTGTCTCAATACAATATTTTACAGTAAAAACATTTGAAACATTAGTAGGCATCTTCCACTTCTCCTAAAAAACAGAGACAGAAAAGCAACGCCTTAGGGCATCCAAAGAAAGTGAGGTGAGCTAACAAATGTCACACGGTTTGTTTGGATCAGCAGGGTTCCACTGGATCACTGCTGTGCTGCTTTTCAAGTGTATCAGGATTCAAGTTCACTTTGGCACAGTGCAATAAAGCTGCTGATTCCCAGCAGTAGAGATATTCCTGTATTTGTATATGAAAGCATCTATCTTTCCAAGACTAACCCCACAGATGCTGTCTAGCACCAGAGACCCAAAACATGTCTGTCAGCTGCCAAGAAAAGATTGTCCAACACCTTTAACCAAGGATTAATCCCCATTAATATTCAGGGCTTTTGCAGTGGTGATTTCATTTGTGGCACTGGAAGTGGCATTAGGAGAGTCATTTTCAGCACAGTTGGTAATGCCATCCATGTACTCATGGGGATCTTGGCTCAGCAGCAATACAATAGTCCCTCCAACACAAAATACTATGGTAATTGCAGGAAAAATAAAGGTTATGTGTTCCTCCTGCCTGTGCAGAACTCAACGCTGCTGACACTTCAGATGCCCGTTGCATTTGATAAAACACTTAAGCATGTTAAGGATCATGAGTCAACTCAGTAAGTTACATCTCCAAATGGAATTTAAATTCCCTGTCTTCATAACTCTTCCTAATGGGAGAACTGGGCCCTGTCCTGACTTGCAAACATTTCCAACCTTGGGAGATCTTTCTATTGGCTTAGCAAGGAATATGGACCCCATTTTTTTGCTCTTTGTATTCTCCAGGGATTGAGGGCAATATCACCTTCAAACCCCATTTATAGGTTGCATGATCCTCCCACCAGCCTGCAAAGGAACTGCTTCCAAGGGCAGCAAGACCTTCCCAGGTTGGTAAGGCAATTCTGAAGCTGGCCTTTCCTTTCAGAAACTTTAAAAGGTCTGTTCTTTCCATGCTGCACTGATCCTTAATGGCTTTTAAACTCAGGAAACAAAGGAAAATTAACTGTTGTTTGCAATCCATTTTTCTTAGTACATGAGGAATCATTACACTTGGCTTTGAAAGAGGGGAAAGAAAAGGCTATCCTGGCTCTGTTCACAGCAAGTGTATTGAACAGTCTTTCCCGTGGAGCCCTCATGGTAGTGGTCCCTTCCCCATCTCCACTTTTCCAAGATAATATTTTACTTAGGATGGCCCAATGGAGCAAATGAGACCAGAAGACAAGCACAGCCAAAGGGAGGGGTGGTCAGGGTAAACTGACATAAGATTAGCCTGCCATTCTGTGGAGCTACCCCACCTTCTCCACCATCTTCTCACCACATTCCTGCACTGGGTGAACAAGATCAACACCTGTTGAAGACCAACCCTACAGAAAGGGTGTTTTCAGCCAAGAAATTAAATGAAATAAAGGAGCAGATGGTTTGAACAGCCCATTAGAATTAGCCCACTATTAGCTTGGCTCAACTCTGACAGAAAATGATAGGGTGAGAGATGAAAGGAGGCATCTAAAAGCAGACTAGGTGGCTAGCTGGATATGCCAATATATACTAACAGAAGGGAAAATGCATACCACCATTTTCTGGTCTAAGATACTTCCTGCCAATGCAGGCTGATAAAAGCCTGCTTGTGAACCCAAAAGGAAAGCCTATGACTTTATACAAGCAGACCTCAACAAAGAAAGGATTTGTTGCTTTGTTTGCCTGGCCATGCTTTAAGTTTGTTTAGATCATCCTCCCCTCTTTCCTTCTGTCACCATCATGCCTTGTAAAAAAATATCTGTGAGTGTGGCTCACACAACAAGCTCATTCCTTGTCAGCTTGCACTATCATCAGCACTTCCACAGCTTGCAAGACAAGCTACA